AGCTTTTTAACTATTTTCGGTGGCCAATTTACTCGTCCTTATCCGAGAAGACTAGAATATCTATCCATTTCTTGATTATAGAAAGGTAGAAAATTCTCCTCACTTATTTTAAGACCATGAGTATTGGTCCGGCCATAGCTCGAACCCTCGACCTCCCGCACAACACAATCCGTCGCTCTAACCAATTGAGCTAACCGGGAGGCGGTTAGCTCAATTGGTTAGAGTGACGGATTGCAGCGTGGATACCTAAATAATCAACTAATTCTCTTTTTTTCTTTTTCTCTGCATGTTTTCTTTTGTGTTTTCCTTTCTCGCTTGAAATAATGAATCAAAATCTAGGTGTCACGCCCTTGTATTCATTTACATCCAAATTCTTTGTCAAATATAGTATGTGTAATCCAAAAAGACAGTTGCTATTTCTTCTGAAACACAAATAGTCTTGAGTATTTTTTTCAACCATATACACAAGTTCTACTAAATATGCTGTGTGTAATGAGGGGGCTAACAAGATATTCATTTAATTTGCATTTCTCGAAACACCGACAAAAGTTTCATTCATATATCTATTCATTTTGTTTACGAGCACGGAAAAAGAAAAGATCTGAGCTACCGAAGAGGACTCGATCCTCCAGAGTCTGAGAGGAGTCAGAGCCAGGCTTAATACTTGGTCCAATGCCGTCCATGTATAAGCAAATTTACCCATTCTCTCCAACGCAAATTTTGTTGCACAAATGATGGAAAATTGGAGCGAGAAGTCTGAAGATCTGAGGTACGAATGATTGTAGAGGACGCAAATTTGGTTGGTTACGCTCGACTCTCGTGACACAAAAAAACCCAGCTCTCTCACTATCATTTTTCCTTAATTCATTTTGCATTAACATCTTTCTTATTTGCAAAAACCCGTATAATCAGTACCCTGATTTCATTGAAATATTAATCATCATTCGTTAAAGGAAGGAAAATTTATTTTCCACTACAACTGAAAGCTTAGTACAAGTCATGTAAGGCACTTAGGGTGGTGGTTTAACCAGCTGAGTGTTGCATATGTCGCTGTACAGCGTCATCTACAGTTTGTTTTTCAGTTTCGCAAATACAGATGAAAACATTATTGATCAAGCTAAATGATTATCCTTCAATTGTTTTTCTTTCTGTAGTAGTTATCGATCATGTAGTCCTCGAATTTCCTGAAATAATTATTTAGGTAGTCATTGAAGAAATCGTCGTTCATTCTCTTTCTACTTTTTTCCTCTTCTCTTTTATCCTCTTCTTCTTCTTCCTCTTCTTCTCCACTTTCTTCCTCTTCCTCTTCTTCCTCTTCTTCTTCTTCTTCCTCTTCCTCTTCTTCCTCTTCCTCTTCTTCCTCTTCT